TGTTGCTGTGTCGTTAATGGAAGACGGGCCGATCCTTGAAGTTGCTAGCGGTGGAGACTGGGTCTGCGACAATGTTGTGTTATAGGCGTCTGACGAAGTGCCGTTCGGTTGTAGAACAGAAGAAATCTGTGATCCAATCGAGGCCGGATCGGTCGGCTGAAGGATTCCATACTCGCTAGAGCTCCCTGTACCAAAGGTGCTAACGCTTTGTAACAAGGTTCCTGGAAGGATAGCTGCGAGTGTCGAAGCAGATGCAGGCAAGGTCGTTCCGAGAGTAACGTTGGAATATGGGGCTTGGAGGCTCGGTTAGCATGCAGCGATTCAAAGCCGCGAGGCGCAATGGGATTTGACTTTACCACGACGGAACACGGCCCCCGCTGCAGACGAAGCGAAGCCTACTGCAAGAAGCGGATGATTAAGATACATGGCGGCTGTAGAGTGCTGCTCACGCAGACACTCTACGGATAACGAACGTCGTGCTCTCAAGTCGTCCCGAGAGAGTGGTGGACATACAAGAGTGCAGCAGAGGCAATCTGGGTGAGCGGGTCCAGCGTGTTTTGGCCTATCGACGGCACCGACTGGCGTGGTCCCGAGCAGAGGCATGCATATTTATCGGAAGATCAGCGCGGGAGGCAGCTAGACTAGGCCTCTGGGCGAAGTCCGAGACCTGCTCGTACATTGGTTACGTTCCTTTTCCCTCCTATTTCAGACAGGGATCAGAGACGGACAGCACGTGAGTTGCAGGCCGTCACCAATAACATGCCCTGGTCTCGCAGAACATGAAGAATCCGGTCAAGGTTTTTAACAAGTCGAATGCGGCTGCCACGCAGGTCCATGGGCGCACGCAACTGCTACAGTAAGTTACTGCGGGTTCTCCTGAGGTTTGCGAGGAGCCACTAAAAGTCCGGCCTTCCTGTCTCGGCATGGGCGAATGCTTGTATTTGTGCGGCGCGCCTCTACACCATTGCAGACATCCCTTCCTGTTCCTCGTACTGAAGGTTTGATTACCATCATGCAGGCATTGTTGAGGCTCTGACGGACATTGACACGCCACGTTGGCGATGCAGGAGTAATGCATAACCAGCATTCGGATCAGCACTATGGACGACGCATGCCGGCTCGACACTCATAGTTCTGTCCTGTTGAGCATGACGATCGTTTGGCAGGTTCCTGGTAAGCGTGCCGATCTGCCAGACTGAAGAGGGGAAATCTAAGCGAATGCGCTGCTCCAGTGCTCGAGAATCTACTGTTTCAAGCTTGTCGTTCGGGGTGGCTGCCTTGGAGTCCGGGCTTGGGTGGCCAAAGCCCAGCGCCTTGCCGTGGCAGATGGGAGCTCCAGAAAGCCCAGAGGCCCACCCCAGATTGCGCGAACATGTGCCAATCGGTGTAGGGGTGAAACGAGGGGTTGGGTGCCTCACGGCACTCAGCTGCATTCATTAATGATGCTGCGGAAGAATACCGGCTGAAAGCGACGGGAAGAGAATGGCCGTCTCACGGAGTTGAGGTGCGAGCCTGTCTGCCCGCCGCCGCGCAGCATTGAAGCGGTATGATCAAGAAGCACAGCAAAGGACTCGCAAGAAAGCGCGACGGTTGCGGCGTTCCCGCAAAAAGTGCTATCGCGGCGAGTGGCGGGTACGTCAAGTCGAAAGGAGCGGTAGCCAAGTGACAAACTCCGTTAGAGCATTTGGTGCAATATATGCCTTGGCCTGCTCGCTCGGCATCCATGCCAGGATCCGGCCAATCTGGCTCGACTCCAGACTTCGGACTGAGAGTGCTTTTGCATGCTGTCCGTGTCTTCTTCTCTTTCCCCCCTCTCTCGTGGCGCTGGCGGGGACAGACAATGCCCTTCGGTGATGCTGTTCGCTGCAATCTTCGAGGTTGAGTGGCTTCAGTCGTGCCTCCTTCCACGCGCCGCTTAGTCACGGAACATGGTCCCTTTGCAAGGGCATCGCGCCTGCCTCACGTCTCTATGCGCCTTCCTCGCCGCCGCCCTGCTCCTGCCCTTACTTGCGGCCGCCGACTATGTGCAGACAAACATCACCGAGACGCCCAACTTCAAGTTGCTTCCCGGCATCGCCTCAGTGCCAGCACCCGTCGCGGTCGCGCCGGACCAAACCTGGATCGGAATTGATGGCGCATGGAACACCTTCACCTTGGCCATAGGCGAGCCTCAGGAGTACGTGCAGGTCTATGTGTCGACTGCAAGTCAGCAAATATGGGCCATCAATCGCATGGCCTGTATCTCAAATATTACGGACCCCACGACTGGAGAGATCACAGCGTTCAACGTCTTCGACTCAGAGTGCGAGCTTAGTCGCGGTTTCTTGTTCAACAGCAGCAACTCGGAAACATGGGAGCAAAAAGGCTTTTACCAACTGTGGATTGAGAAGTACCTTGGACTAGTCGGTAATGGACTGTACGGTTTCGATTCGGTGGGTCTAGGGAGGGCCGGGGAGATGGGGCCCTCTGTCCAGAATACAACAATCGGCACCTTGGTCACGGCCAACTTCTGGCTCGGGCATATAGGCGTGCATTCCAAGTCAACCAACTTCTCCGTCTTCGACGACCCAGTCCCGAGCTACATAACTACTCTGTTCGAACAAAAGAGCATTCCCAGTCTATCTTTTGGCTACACTGCCGGCGCACAGTACCGTAAGACAGTCCCACATGCTTCCTGTATATCACTGACTCGTGTGTATAGGCGACCAAACCGTCCTCGGAAGTCTCACGCTGGGTGGCTACGATGCCTCCCGCCTTATTCCCAACGACCTTACTTTCATCTTCGCACCGGACAATGAGCGCGACCTGGTGGTTGGCATAGTTGGCATCACAGCGAACACCACGTCGGAAGAAGACATCGATCTCATGAAAACTGACGACGTCACCATGTACATTGATTCTACGATTGCAGAACTCTACCTGCCAGTTGAAATCTGCCAAGCTTTCGAAGACGCATTCGGATTGCAGTACGACGAAGCGACTGATCTCTACCTTGTGGACGATAAGCTTCACCAGAGTCTCCTCGCGCAGAACCCCAGTGTGACGTTCACTCTTGGTCAAAAATTCAGTACCGATGCCACTCTACAGATCACCTTGCCTTATGCTGCCCTAGACTTGGAGGCAACCCCTCCCTACAGAGGACTAAAAGAGAAGACAAGGTACTTTCCAATCAGGCGAGGTGGTGAGTCGCGCCAGTGGATACTAGGCAGAACCTTTCTACAGGAAGCCTACCTGACTGTAGATTGGGAACGTCAGAACTTTACAGTGTCAGCTGTCGACTGGACATTTGGCAAGGCACCAGAAATCCTTCCCATCGTGTCGCCTACCTATGCAGTAGCGCATTCCACTCCCCCGAAAAAGAAGCCTCTATCGTCTACGGCAGTCATTGGGATTGCCGTGGGAGGTGGCTTCTTCGTTGCTTTACTGTTGTGCGCAATTGGATGGTGGTTTTGGCATCGGCGACACAAACGCAAATTGGAAGCCATCAAGGCGAAATACGAGGCCGAGGCCGCTGCGGCTGCAGTCACCAAGATGGATCCACCCGTTTTGGAGGAAACTCCGACCTCTCCAGTACGAAGTAGTACCGAGGGTGTGATTGTCTTTCCGAAGGCTGAGCTGCCTGGTACATCTCATGTACATCACGAGATGAGCTCCAGTGCGCAAGAGAAGGGTTTATTGCCGGTGCATGAGGCAGATGGCAAGGAGCGTGAGATTTACGAGATGCCTGGCGACATGCCTGTGCTTGCAGAAGCAGGCGGCCGTCAACTGTCGGAGAAGGAGTCTATGGTGGTACGTGAGAGGATATACAACGGCGTAGATCCGGCTGGTATGCCAGATGCACCCCCCGTTACACATGACGAGTCACGAAGGCTTGCACCGATATCTCCCTCAGAAGTGGCGATTGTGGGCGGTCAACTACCGACTGGCAACGTGTCGCCCGTCACACCACGATTACCCCGAGACGGTGCGTCCTTGGAACCTTCGGACACATTTTTCCAGCTGCCGCCCTATCGTGCTCGCGATGGAAGACGCACCGAATCGGATGACGATCCCCTCTCCCCCGTCTCGCCTCTGGAAGGGTCTACGGATATGTCCCGACGGCGGTTCTCGTACGAGTCATGAAACCCAAAAAGCTGATTGTTTAGCGACGTTACGACTGGCGTTTACTTTGTTTGGCATAACTGGCGGGGATCTCTTGGCTTAGCGACACGCGGCACCGTTGCTTACTGCGGATATGGCGTTTGAGAGACGATAGTTTTGATTTTGTACATGCCAGAGGCTGAATACCCATCTAGACGGAGGCACGTGGTAGACACGAGTCGAGCCACGTTTTGTTAGTGTCTATGCTGTATATACCCTCTTTCCACGTACATAGCAGCAGTCCATGCGGCGGAAATGCACAACAAGCTGCTCGCAGCGCTAGGCTCATGCGTTCATCTCGATTGACATGCACCGCGCTGAGGCACCGGTCTGGCCGTCGGCTGGCTAAACGGTCATAAACCTGCAACGGGCAATTGTCCTGATTGTAGGGCAGAGCCAGGGGCGCGGGCGAAGCGGTCTGAGGAAGGTGGCTATACCAGCGCCTTGCCGCCTTGGGCCAAGTTGAACCCCTCGTATGCGCTGCGACTGGATACCAACCCCACCATTGCCCTCACGGAGGCCGCGACGAGGCACAGGACGACCGCTTTTCTGCATCGTCACTTTGTCAATCGCTTTCCTATTGCTTCATACTTCCCGGTGAAGACTCTGCGCCTTCTTTGACCGTCCCACCGCCCACCCGGTTTCGACAGCCGCCGCCCCGCTTTGTGTTGAAGCAGCTCCTGTCAGTCATCACATTGGCCGCGCGCCTAGCCTTATATCATATCTTCCGTCTGCCGCCTGCGCCTTCTCTCTGCTGCTCGACTCCTGCGACCGCCCCGATCGTTACTTCCTTCTTTGAAAGAAACTAGAAAGAGCTTGCTTTGGTTACCCCTCGCTCTTACCCCGCCGCATCTGCTATCATGGGCGACCTCGCCAACCGCAAGGTGTTCAAGGTAGCGTGGCATCCGCCTCTCAGACCCGAGCATGCGTACTTACAGGCTGCAGGTGTTCAATCAAGAGTTCATCGTCGACGAGCGCTACAATGTGACCAAGGAGCTAGGACAGGGTGCTTATGGCATCGTTTGGTACGACCCGAGCAACTGCGCGACGCATGCGGATACTGACCGTGCCTTCCAGTGCGGCTACCAACAACCAGACGGGCGAAGGCGTAGCCATCAAGAAGGTCACCAACGTCTTCAGCAAGAAGATCCTAGCAAAGCGTGCCCTGCGCGAGATCAAGCTGCTGCAACACTTCAGAGGCAAGTCTAGATTGCCCCCGTCGGCTCTGCCACAACTAACATCCGCCAGGCCACCGCAACGTAAGAAACCCCTGGTCCGAGAAGCAGACCGTCCGACACGATGCTAAATCCCGTCGCACAGATAACATGTCTCTACGACATGGACATTCCCCGCCCGGACAACTTCAACGAGTGCTACCTCTATGAAGGTATAGATTCTCCTCTTGGCATCTGACAAGGAGATGCTGACACGGTGCAGAGCTCATGGAGTGCGACCTGGCAGCCATCATCCGCTCTGGCCAGCCACTTACCGACGCCCATTTCCAGTCCTTCATCTATCAAATTCTGTGCGGTCTGAAGTATATCCATTCAGCAAACGTCCTCCATCGCGACCTCAAACCCGGTAACCTACTCGTCAACGCCGACTGCGAGCTCAAGATTTGTGACTTTGGTCTCGCAAGAGGTTTCTCCATGGATCCCGAGGAGAATGCAGGTTACATGACTGAATATGTCGCTACGCGATGGTACAGAGCTCCCGAGATCATGTTGAGCTTCCAGAGCTACACGAAAGCCAGTGAGTAGTTACCATTTTGTTCCACTCGTGCACGTCAGAGTTCCATGGCTTTGCCGTGTAGACTCTGGCGACCCCACAGACCCAGGGTCTGCATAACCACCAGCGGACCCAACTTAGCCGCCCCGGCGTTTGAATACATAGCTGACTTCGGCTAGTCGACGTATGGTCAGTAGGCTGTATTCTTGCTGAGCTTCTCGGAGGCAAGCCCTTCTTCAAAGGCCGGGATTACGTCGACCAACTGAACCAGATCCTGCACTATCTCGGAACACCAAACGAAGAAACACTCTCACGTATCGGCTCGCCTCGTGCCCAGGACTACGTTCGCAATCTACCATACATGCAAAAGATTTCGTTCCAGTCACTATTTAGGAACGCCAATCCGGACGCGCTCGACTTGCTCGACCGCATGCTCGCTTTTGACCCATCGAGCCGTATCTCAGTCGAAGAAGCCCTGGAGCACAGGTATCTACAAATCTGGCACGACGCCTCCGACGAGCCTTCCTGCCCAACAACGTTTGATTTCCAGTTTGAGGTCGTCGAGGAGATTCCAGAGATGAAGAAGATGATTTTGGACGAAGTCAGCCGCTTCCGCCAGATGGTCCGCGTACAACCCGGTGCAGGCGCTGGGGCGAACCAGGCGCCTCAAGTCCCAATACCCAACAACTACGACCGCGCCGGCTACGAAGACCCTAGGCCACAAGAAGCCTTCAACCAGGGTGGATGGAACGGCAGCGACTTGGAGCGTGACCTTCAAGGCCTTGACGGTCGCATGCGATGATTGCATCCAGATGATGTTGTTGGATACAAGAAACTTCTCATTGTTCAGAGCGTGAAGGATTTGGGTAATATTTGAGCCCCGTGTAATTTCTCTCGAAAATCTATTCATTTATATGTACCCCAGAGTGTCTTCGCAATATATGAACTTGGCGAGTGGTGTTGTAATCGTCTACGGTGCCTCACGGTATGAAGCTCCTGTCGTTGTCCCATGGAAAATCTGCTCGAGTTGTGCAAGTCGCCATCCACTCTCAATGGTCAGACACTAGGTACGTACAGCATCCAGTATATCCGCCTCCAAACACTCCAACAAGCCTGGTGCCTCGCCTTTGTATCCCCAAGCCTTCCCCGCTCTCTCTGCCCTCGTGCGCGAATTACTTGCAAAAAGATATCTGGCCAGTCTGGGAAATCCAGGGATATTCGCCATTGCGTCCAATCTCTCTAAACTAATCTGCACGGGTGTCGCATCATCGATCACACCATGTCTGTGCAGAACCTCTCCTGTCGCTTTCGCAACATCAATTTGAGAATGCTCCTGTGTACTAGCGAAGTAGTATCCATTCTCGTTGAAGAAGTCTTTTGAATTGGATGCCGCGGCTTCCACGACTTGGAGATACAGACGCATCAAATCGTCGATGTGCACCCAACTCCTCGTATTTGCACCTTGGTCGAGGTAAACTACTTTACCACCCATGTTCTTCACTTCTTTGATGAAAAATGGGATGAAAGCACTTTGGATCTTTGCTAGCCCCTTGCCTCTACCGTAGATATCCGGTGGGCACATGATTGCTATGTTGATTTTGTCGCCGTGCTCTGCAACTGTATGATGGAGAATGGTCTCTGTATTGCGGTGGAGTGCGTTTGGGGGCAGTTGACGGATTTCAGGCAGAGAAGCAATGTCCGACCATATCTCTGGGTTCAACTTCCCTAGATACTCTTCGTCGGCCCAGTCAGATACAATTCCTGTTCCGGAGAGGTGAAGGAGGTAGCCCGGGATTGGACGGTGGAGAAGACCCGTGATGATAGCGTTTAGACTGGGCTCATGGTCTGAATCGCCATTGTGGATAACAATGTCAGCGTTCTCCGCTGCTGATGTGATGAGGTCGGCGCTCGAGTAGTCACCTGTGATGACGTCGATGTTGGGATAGGTGGATTTGAAGTTTTCAGGAGTTTTGCGTAACAGAACAGTGATGTGGTATTCAGGGTGGGCGGTTGCAATAGTATGTAGGACGGAACCACCGATGTAGCCTGTGCCTCCTGTACTGCGTGCGAGTTAGTGGTCTGTCTTGGAAGCTGCGAGCATGTGAACATACAGGAAAACTTTGGGTGTCATGATCAAAGGTCAACTAGTCAAGAACACGATACCACAAAGTTGTTCAAAGTATTGATGTAGTAAAGATGCTTGAGGCGGCTTTAGAGATAATCTATCAGCAAGGCCCAACTCATGAACAAGGAATCATGCGACTCCACTTGATTGGTAATTCAACTTGGCATCACTTCCCTCTTGGTCTGATAGTGCCTGGAATGACGTTCTAGCGCCCTTACAAATGGATCGTTCTGACGGGCATGGAAAGACTGTTAGACAGTCTCGATCTGAGGACATGATGGGAATACGAATCACAGAATTTCCGTGCGCAGACACCTAGCAATGAGTGTAAAGACCGAAGCGTATAGGATGAGCTAAAGTGAACCTCAGCATGCTCAGGCGTATACGATTCCCGAAATCAGCATCAGTGGTGAGTCGCGTGAGTGCATGTATTATTTGTGACATTTGCATCGAGCTACACCACGAAGTTCGGGAGCCACAGCGTGGGTGCACAAAATACTGTGGTTTCTGCTAAGGTGGTTTCCGTCCCGTTGTTCATGTTCGTAGTGACCGCTCGACACTGCGGCGATGAGTGAAGCCGCCGACAGGGATTGTCGCGCTAGAGAACTAGCGCGACAATTATTTCCCCGTTTTCGAACTTTTGGCATGCGCTCCAAATCGAACTTTTCGTGTCACTGCACTGCATAGCACTCCCAAGACGCTCAATACACCATGTCGCCCGCCGCGATCGAGTCAGGCAATAAGAGGAAGAGGTCTCACAAGAGCAAAAAGAGCGCCGAAGCAGAGGCTGTCCCAGCGCATAATGGCGTAGACTCCACCAAGGCGCGCAAGAAGGCGCGCAAGGAAAAGGAAGTCGTTGTAGCCGAGCCTGTGGTTGAGGATGTTTCCGAGGAGGTAGAGAGCGATGAGGAAGAAGACGAGAAGGTAGCAGAGGAGGTTGCCGCCGAGGCCAGTCCCGCGAACGACGACGACGAGGATAGCGACAAGGAAGACGATGAAGGCAACGACGACAAGCTCCCCGAGCTTCCTTCTGGCACGGGCAGCAATGCCCTTGACCTTCCATCAGGCACTACCATGCCTTCGGCGAACCCAACACGATTCGATGAGCTCAACCTGAGCGAGCGAACCATGTCTTCAATCAAGAACATGGGCTTCGAGAACATGACAGAGATCCAGCAGAAGGCTATACCACCCCTGCTGTCTGGAAGGGATGTGCTTGGAGCGGCCAAGACTGGCAGTGGAAAGACATTGGCTTTCCTTATCCCGGCCATCGAAATGCTTTCGCAATTGCGTTTCAAGCCGCGCAACGGAACTGGTGTCATTGTTGTGTCACCTACAAGAGAACTTGCATTGCAGATCTTCGGTGTAGCTCGCGAGCTCATGGAATCACACAGCCAGACGTTTGGTATCTGTATCGGTGGCGCGAACCGAAACGCAGAAGCTGAGAAGATCAGGAAGGGCTTGAACCTGATCATCGCTACTCCAGGGCGTCTTCTCGATCACCTACACAACACACAAGGCTTCGTTTTCAAGAACCTGAGGTCGCTCATCATCGACGAAGCGGACAGAATTCTCGAGGTCGGTTTCGAGGATGAGATGAGGTCGATTATCAAGATCCTGCCCACGGAGCGTCAGACCATGCTGTTCTCGGCAACACAGACCACCAAGGTTGAGGATCTCGCAAGGATCTCGCTCAAGCCAGGACCTCTGTACATCAACGTCGATCATCGAGCCGAACATAGCACGGTCCAGGGACTGGAGCAGGGTTACGTTCTGTGCGATTCAGACACCAGATTCAGGCTCCTCTTCTCCTTCCTCAAGAAGCACCAGAAGAAGAAGGTCATTGTCTTTTTGTCTTCGTGCGCATCAGTCGACTTCTACAGCGAACTGCTCAACTACATTGACTTGCCAGTGCTTGGACTGCACGGCAAGCTTAAGCAACAGGCCCGTACGAACCGCTTCTTCGAATTTGTCAACGCACAAAGTGGCACACTCATCTGTACCGATGTTGCTGCGCGAGGATTGGACATTCCTGAGGTAGATTGGGTCATCCAATTCGACCCGCCTGATGATCCCCGAGGTAAGTTTTGATCATGCGCGATGGATACGAAACATATACTGACACATGTGCAGACTACATCCACAGAGTCGGTCGAACAGCTCGAGGTGCCAACGGCAAAGGCAGGAGTTTGATGTTCCTCCTGCCCTCTGAGGTGGGATTTCTCAAGCTCCTTAAGGAAAACCGAGTGCCCCTTGTAGAGTTCGAGCTGCCTTCCAACAAGATCCTCAACATACAGTCACAACTGGAAGCCTTGATCAACAAGAACTACTACCTGAACAAGAGTGCGAAGGACGGTTACCGGTCCTACCTCCAGTCGTACGCGTCACACAGCTTGCGTTCAGTGTTCGATGTGCATAAGCTGGATCTTGTCAAGGTAGCCAAGTCGTTCGGCTTCTCAGCACCACCGCGTATCGACATCAGTCTTGGAGCGAGTCTGAGCCGCGATAAGAAGGTAGAGGGACGAAGAGCATACGGGAGCCAGCCTCAGCAGCAACGACGACCGATGAGGGGAGGCAAGAGGTTCTGAGACGGTGCTTGAACGGCATTGATCGGAGTTTGGCGTACAAAATCACATACGGACAATGATCTAGGGTTTATAGCTTTATCTGCATGATCTAATCGAGTACCCAGAAGGACGTGAGTAACTTTTGGAATGTGGAATTTGCCAATGTGATGTAGCGTGGCACAGAAAGCTGTGATCAGATGCGCCCATGACACGGTCTCTCTACTCGGCAGCTTCATGAAACTTAGTGGGTGCAAAATATGGTTAGCAAAATGAATGTCTCTGAGAAAATTGGCAGTTCAACGCCACCAAACCGGTGAGCGCTAGTGGGATTTGGGCAGCAACCACTGAGACAGCAGAAGAGCAATATCACCAGGTCGGGCCAACTGCCAGTTCATCAAGTCTGCATCCTTCGGAATATGGTTCTCTAGCATATCTGACTTCTGACATATTACTTGATGGACATGCAAGCGCAGCCCAGCCCTACGAGTTTTTGAAAAAGCTATGCGGCAGATTGTATGGGGGATGCGCTGGCAAGTCGCTCTAGCGAAATGACCAATGACGTCGAGCAGACAAGCAAGCGGATGCGTCCGCCCACCGGGGGAATCGGCACAATCACCCCTGGTAACGACACGGGTGCTAGAAGCTAGCTAGCGGTCGTAGTATCGAGACGGCCTACATGACGGTGTTGACATGTGGCGGTGAGACAGACGTGTGAAGTGACAGGCTGTCTAGGGATGGGAGTGAAGATAAAAAAACCCAGAGTGTGCATAACCTGATTTCAGCAAAAGTGCATGCCGGCGCGGGACGACGGGAGGGGTAAGAATAGAATGGAATAAGCGGCGTGATTGCTTTTGCTGCTACCAGCCATCTTGTTGCTGCGCTCAGCCGGGTGGAGGGACGGTAGAGGCTGGCATTCGTCGGGCAGTCGTCTAGGAGGGCAGAGTTTGGTTCGAAACACGCGCCTGCTCGACGGAACATGCATGGCCAACGGCGTCCACGAGGGACTTCAGGCACGCTGTATGGCCTTGACGCGGGAAGGTGGCTGGGCTGTGGACAAGTCATGATGTATCGTCGGTAGCCCAAAGATACGACGCGACCTGTCGCACGTCTACTGACTGGGCTTGCTCGCTCTCTCTTGTACCATTTTCTACGTAATCAGCTGTTATTTCCCGACTATTGTCTAATATACCCTTTGCGGCTCTAATAATCCAACGCAAATCCCGCGAGCGATCTGCCAGGCCAACAAGCCTCACCTCGGCCGTGTTAGCGCCGACAAGGATTGCTGTTCTTCTAGGCTTGGACCCAGCCCGGCTTTCTCTCCACCACAGCTGGAGTTGGTTCCCACGACCGCCTCTCCACCAGCTCGACGGAGCTTGTAGAGCCCATTGCTACCCCCGAGAGACGGCTGTGAGCTGTCTGCGCGGCCTGGTCTGGTGAGTCCCGTGACGCGTGCCCTGCCACGCCCGAGCAGCTGCTAACACTGGCTGGCCAGCTTCGCTACGACCGTCGGCGCCCAGCTCGCCATTGTCGCAGAGCGTCGCACGCACTGCACATGCACCAGGTGGCCTCAGGTCCTGGTTCACGCCGCCGATAACGCAGTTCGCTCCCGCGCATCGTCCGCGCCCACACCCACGATCGCTGTTCGCGCTCGCACCCAACACCAGCAACATCCAGGTTCGCGCACACGGGGACTAGCCACCGTGCGGCCCTGCACCCACACCTCAAACAACAACACTTCCCTCTTATAACGTCCTCGAGGAAAACGGCGCCGGGCATGTCTTCCGTCACCCACCCCGCCTTCTAGAATCTTTCGGATTCTATGATGGTTTTAGATACAGACAGACCTCCTCTTCCGGCACCTACTGAACCCTCGACTCTCGATTCCGCAGACGAAAACAACTACACCGACGACGTCGACACAAACGTCTCCAACCGCACCGACAGGACCTCCTACTCGGTCCCCGAAGACGGCACCCCCATTACTATCAACACCACCTCGCCCACCAAGCCCCGTGGCAGCCGCGTCCTGCACAAGAAGTTCCCCTCGCAGACTTCGCTGCTCATTGAGTACTTCGAAGCAGGCGAAACCGAAGGCCAAGTCCGCTCGCGCCCCAGTGTGCGCGTACGGGTCACGCCTTCCTCCCGCAAGAGCAGGAACAGCACCGTCAGTGATCACGTCCAGATCACCCAGACCCAGACCCATCGCCATTCCCACGCCGCCTCGTACTCGCGGCGCATCTCCCTCCACAGCAAGTCGTACGACCAGCTCTACAGCTCGCGCCGTAACACCGTCGATTACTCCGACCTCTCCAACATCTCCTCTCTTCCCCCCGTCGACATCGAGCTACTGCCCGATCACAGCGACGACGACTCTAGCGACGGCGGACGCTATATTCCCATGCCCTCGGACATATCGTCCATGCCCGCAGACAGCATGACTGGCCAAACAGAAATCCTCCCGCCCGCGCGGCGCAGGAGCCGAAGCCTCGAAAGGGACGCAGTCACTGAGTCCATGGTCTCAGAGGCCATTCAGGACACACTCAAAGCACCCCGCCACCACCGAAGCAGAAGTCTCAGCAAAGACCGCATCACACAGCGCGTCATGGAGAAGCTGCAGCAGCAGGCCGCAGAAGGCGGCACCACAAAGTCCAAAGACCGATCCTCCAAGTCGAGAGAGGTTTCCAGGCGGCGAGAAGATGACCTCGCCTCACCACGCAAGTCGCATCGTAGAAGGAGCAAAGAAGTCGACCAAGTGAGCGGCACTGACTCCAGTCTGCTCTCCTCCAACGCCGACCGTCGCTCTCACGTCTCTGGGACTTCGTCGATCAACAACCCCAAACTACTAGCCACAGTTGAGGACGCCATCAAGCGCCTCATTCTCCCTGAGTTGAACGCGCTGAAAGAAGAGAACCGCACTTCCAGGAACATGGACAAGTTCGACCGTGCCAACCGTGATAGCATAGCCACATTCGAGACTATGGAATCCGACCGCTCTCGCGACCCATCCAGACGCCGTGTTTCCAAATCCTCGAGCGCGCCTAAACTCCACAGCAACAAGCCCAAGGTCGTCCTCAACAGGGATGGTGACAACCCAGGGACGACACTGACTGGCGGATCAAGTCGCAAGAGCGAGCGACGATCCAGTCGCGGCTCCATCTCGAGCTACGCAGACTCGACTACTCGCGATGAGAAGTCTCATCGAAGAAAGAGCAAGGACGAGAAGACCCTATCCCAACGGGATTCTGCGCTAATTGGGCTTGCCGGAGCTGGCCTTACTACCGCCGCTCTCAAGCACCACACTTCGCGGGAAGAGAAGGAGGAAGAGCGCAAACACCGCAAGCATCGCTCCTCTCGCAGCAGTCGATCTGAGAGCGTATCTGAAAGCGTCCACGAGGAACGCGTTCCACCTCTACCCTTCAACCGCAGCGAGCTTATCGGAGGATCCGAGCTCACTCGCGACTCCATCCTTTCCGCAGAAACTGAGACCAAGGAGAGGCCGCAGTCAAGGTCATCGACGAGCACTGGCATAACAGGCACAGGTGCTGAGACGCCTCTGCAACAGGTCTCTCGTGGTTACATTTCACCATCTCCACGCACACCAACCCGCACACCTAATGCGCTTCAACAAACGCTCGGCACTGCTCACAGTAACAAATCAACCAACGAAGTCCGCACAGCGACTCCAAAGAGCGATCGCAGCTACACCTCCCGCTCGAAAGTCACTGACGCCAGTCTGTCGGCTGCAGCTGCGGCCAAAGCCCGCGCAATCGAGCGGTCAGAACCTCAAGCATCGCAGTATGAAATTGAGAGTGACACGCAATCAAGACGTGGTGATACTGTCAGCCCGATACAAAGCGAGGCTAGCTATCGGGGGGACGCACAGATCACAGGCTCACCACGAAGATTTAACTCCATCCGCAGTGGGCCATCTGTGTCTTCTCTTGGCCATCAATTTGAGCGACGAGAGTCTAATCTCTCTATCGCATCAATGGACTCAACAGCGAGCACCAAGGCGGCACGTACCCGCAAACGACCTCAGGGCGTCACTCTCGAAAGCAAGAGGTCTATCCTCAACGAGGCCACGACGCCCAAGGACACAAATGAGTTCTTCGAACGCAACCACGAGAAGAATGAAATGTACCGGCGAGAACTAGAGGACAGCTCTGTGAACTACAACCGCATGACCATGTATACCGATGACAGCACAGGCGTAGAGTATCTTGATCAACAACAGAAGATTGGTGATCTTCAAGACCTTCGCAAGGTCGGCTCGAATCCTGAATACGTTCACACACCGCTAGCAGTAGAATCAGCCGTCGCATCCCTACACGACCCGTCTACCATCAGTGTTCGATCTTCAATGGCTTCAAGCCCGATCAAGAAGAGTATGCTATCGCAGGTCAGCACGAACCCAGCCTACGTGCAAACCGAAGAAGTACCTGCTGGTCAGAGATGGGCCGCCATCCGTGATAAGGCGGAAGCACTAGTACAAGAACGACGTGCTGAGGAATCTCCAAAACAAAACATTGCGCGCGAGAATTCTCCCAGGCAAAGCATTGCGCAGTCTGAAGATGGACAATCGGTTGTATCTGAAGCACCTCAGATGCATCACAGCGCCTATCCCGTTGGCAATGACGACATGATGCCCGAGATTGGGTACGGCATGGATGACGACTCAGATGTGACTACCAACCCATCAATTATCCAAGGGCCAATTGGCGGAGGAGATGGTTACCATGATCGTACCGACGAGTTGCTGAGCCGCCAAGAAGAGCGGGAGCGTACACCTACCTCGTTCAGCAAAGGCGTCACTGGACTCGGAGCTGGAGCTGCTGCCATGGCTGCTGCCGCTGCCTATGAAAGGCAGGAGCAGCAGACTCCGGATTCGTTCGACCAACGACACCAGGCCACCGTAGAAGACGAATATGATCATCCCTATCCAGGTGAGCAACAATACGAGCAGGCAGGCTATGCGCAGAGTAATCGCACTCCTTTGTCGTCAGGCCAGACCGGCTGGAAAGACGAGGGTTACCAGTCGGCTAACCAACGTGAAGCGTACACGCCTCAAAACCGCAATCATTCAAAGATCTTTGATGATGACGGTTACGGTGATGAGTACAATGGCGTGGATCTTGGCAGCCCGGACATGTTTGCTGCTCGTGCCAAACATGACCGACACGTTAGTGGCAACTCCCACGGTATGACTTCGCCTCTCTACGACGCAGCTACCGGCAAAGGTATTGATCGTATCGAATCGAAAGACATTGTGGCACTCATGGACCACCTCACCGTTCGCGATGCCCAGCGTAATGCACGCGATACCGAGATCCTAGTGACTCTTGTCCGAAGTGCTGCCGAGATGCGCAATCAGTTGGACGATCTGAAGCAGTTCATCAAGACTCAGGACACTATGATCATGAATACCACTGACAAGCGAGTCAACTTGGCGGAGCAAAGGATTCTGGGTGGCCCTCGCCCTCAACCCATGACGCCCCCTCGCATGAATCGCACATCTTCCGACGACGACATTGAGACCAAGAAGAAGAGTGTCTTCAGGCGTGCTCTGAAGGGACTAAGCTCTGGCAAGGGCGATGGCGACATCAAGCACATCGAGCAAATGCTCGTCCAATTGCTCGGTGAAGTTGAGGGTTTGAAGCAAGTCAATCAGCTCTCGTTGGACCAACAAGCGAGGACGAATAGTCTCAACTCGTACGAGAATCTGCGAGCAAGCGATGACGCAGGCTATGAGCCAGAAGGTCGTGCCAACACTGCGCCTTCTCCCGACCAGTCGGGTTACTTTTCTAACCCTTCCTCATCACGGCGCATTCAAGATCTTCACTCCGGCTTTGATGTTGTGCCAACAAACCGTATAAGCACGGTGCGAGAGGAGAGCGACGAGGAGTACGACGAGCGCAATCCCCAATACGAAAACACTGAGCGCATGACAACGCCAACTCAGGAAGCTTTCCCAGACAAGCGTCGATCTTTGGGTACTCCCCCACAAGCTTCAAAGTCGACACGGGACTCAAGCCATGAGACCACACCGAAGCGCAAGCACAAGTCCAACTCATCATCCATCTTCGGTATCCCCAAGATCTCTCGATGGTCGAAGACAACTTCTTCTACCAACCCTGAGAGTCTGCCGCGCAACAGTGTGTCTGGTGAGAGGCGACCACAATCCACACACTCCAGGTCTTCTTCTTTGGATGACTACTACGATGACGACGAGCCGTATCAGCAGCATGGTGACGATAGGCTTCGCTCCAACACTTCGCTGGCTAGGGACGATCAGGCGTCCGTCCGCTCTGCGCGCTCTCTACGCTCTCCATCGCCTCTTATCCCAGAGGAGCATCAGTACGAGATGGAAGACCCCAAGTATCAGGCGCATCGCAATTCGCTGAATCTGCAACACCCTCAGCCGCGACCCGGGCCAACCGGTCGTCACCAGAACCAACTGGAGAGCCAAGCACAAATCTACAATCCTGTTCGTTCAAGCATAGGGTCTCCAGATTTTGATCAGTGGGGTAGCATGCCATCGCTTGCGCGAAACCGGATGTCTGGTATCTCGGCTCAACAGAATGCTGGCAACCTCTCACCAATTTCGTCAGATGGCTACAGCCAACACTCTGCTTCGGAGCAACAAGCCGGCCCACCCAGGCCTCCCAAGATCCCGGATGACGGTCCTCTTATCCCGCCGCCACAGCTGCTTGCCGGCTATGGGCAGACGAGGCAGATGTACAGCTCTCCGAACGAATTCGGTAGCCAAGGTGCTTTGACACCGCTTGCACCTATCGCAGAGGTGCGTTACTCACTTGAAACCGATCGGGGCCATCGCGTAAGTTCAGCTCACGCCTCAGAAGATGGCGAACAATGCTGACATTACGCGAAAGATGACACCTACTGCCTCGCCTCGCCCGAGCAGCCAGTACCTCCGCTCCGAGGCTAGCATGGACAGCCCACAACGAAGGGTTACTGGCCCCAGGCCCATGGGTAGCAAGAGCCCGCAGCCACAGAGTCCGCTGCAACACTCGGATACCGTTGTTCGCAGGAAGCCTATCGCTGGTGAGTCTTATGCTGCTTGACGTATCGACTGAGAAAGGTTACTAACAAGTACGACAGATGATGAAGAGTCTCTAGAGAGCTACCGTAGCAGTCTTGATTCCGAGATTTTCTAGGCGAACCATCTCAAACCCAGCATTGTAATCCACAGCAACAGGCAAACTGCAGTCAATAGCTGGGTCGAAAGTAATGGACAGAAGGGGGACGCACGTTTTCTTTCCCATCAACGACCAAGCAAGAATTTGCAACAGCGGTCACCGCTTAGGCATGTGACATTTGCTGAATGAACGAAGAGTACGAAGAGTAGTAATATTGGGATGTGCAAAAGCTTTTCATTGGTTATATGGACTTCATTCGCTTTACATACCTGCGCATATATCACTTTGCGAGCATGGCGTTTATATAGCGTTCTTCGACATGGTTTCTGTGGCATGAAGTTTGGAGGGAGTCTTGAGTGGCTGATGAGGGACGAACTTCATGCTTTATGAGAAACGACGGCGTATTTAGGTAGGCATTTCGATACGAATGCAACATTGTGTGTTGGCAGAAATGTTTTCCTTCAGCGTGTGATGTTTTGTTCCACGATCTGTTTCGTCATCGTTCGGATTCGGTACCTGGATGTCTTCAATGCACCCCACCAGCACGCGACCACCACAGCAAACTTACCAACTAGCCCCTACAGTTCTCAGGTTCCCGCTTACCAGCCCTTCACTAATCGGCAAGTCTTTGCCTGAACGCGAAGGGTCTTCCTGTCTCGGCCCGCAGTTATGAGGTCGTCGTGACATCATCAGGGTCCACCACTCTTTCATCATCATCGATGAGCTGTAAAGCTAGCAGTATGTAAAAAACCTTTATAACATGTCCTTCCGGCTTGGATCTCCATCAAATACACACACACAACTTCTTTGATACCCATATCTCCGATTCCAATACACACCTCACCAACAAATTTCCAAACTACTTCAGCCTACACACATCACAATGTCTGCCGAATACAAGAACACCAACGTCAACGAGATCGCCAAGAAGGCTGAGCAGGAACTCAGCAGCGATAGCGCTACCAAGGGCCACAACGTTGGTCTTTCCAGTATGTCTTCTTTACCAACCCATCGCACAAAAACACCGACTAACTCTACTCCTTCACAGCCACCGAATCCGGCGTCGACACCGCAAACGTAGAGGGCAAGTTCCCTGGCGCAGAAGTAAAATACGGCTCCGCTGCCAGCGGCGCTGGCAACAACCGCGAGATCCCGCTCGACGAGGGTGGTTCCATCAAGGCCAACGGTCAACCTACCAAGGCGGGTGACTTTGCTCACGGAGGTGTCGGCGCACCTGAGGAGAGGAATCAGACTTATATCAACAACAACGGTGGTGATGACTCCATCCGGGGGAACATCAGGAACTAGGATGGTTGATGCATGAAGATGCGGGAAAGAGGTTGATTGAGACCCTACCGCTTAATGAATGAAATGAAATGATCCAAAAGAGAAACCATGAAATCAAAGAATCTGAATGCTGTTGTGAGGATTTGACCATTTTCCTTCTCCATTCTTTCTTGCTTCGTCCTCTTCTAACCTCACTAATTCCTACGTTCTGTTTCGCTCCATGCTGTAGCCATGTTTTACTTTCTCGAATGCACTGTTTCTGTCTATCATCCCTCACTATTCCCTTCGCGCACGAAAGCTCTGTTCTGCTCACACCTAGTATCTATTCTCGAAAAAATCTCGATCATATGTGGGTATACATGTATTGACACAGTGTGTACCAGAAACAGAGTAATTGGCCTGCTGAACTAATAATACCTAGATCAACGTATCGCAATCCAGCCTAACGTCAGCATTCAGAGACCTCGTTTGTACGAGAGAGGGCTCTACGAGCACCTAAGCGTTTTGGACTAGACCATATACACTTACCTAGCTAAACCAGGGCACCTGTTTGACACATATTTCTAGCAAGCTACTACACTCCAACCAAACGGTAACTGCGTCAGACAGCCCTATTAAAGTCGAGTCCCGAACTACATTCTCCGACTCCTCTTCTCGCTCGAGCTCCGATTTTACTAGTACTACGAACAACTCTCTATCAAAACCATGTCCATAAAGAACGAAAGGCGATAATAACCAATCCTCTGGCCTACAGGGCAATCTTGGAAAGGGAAAGGAGAAAGTTAACCTACGTGCTGGCGGTAGTGTACTGACTAGCTGGCGATGTGATCACTGTATTACGATACAGTCATAAGATAGTGTAGAGCATAGTGTGACGTGGTCTTGAATGGGGGTAACATGCGGTTATGGGTATTGTGGAGAGTGAGAGTGCTAGAGCTAATAGTATGATGAAGTCATGATACCTGAGCTGCAATCTTCAGCTAGACGAGGATGAAGGTCGGTGTCGTCCTTCGGCTCATAACAACGACACGACGCTGACGCTGTATGCCTAGATATGCTTACTAGGAAAATTGGAAAAAGATTGCTTTTGAGCCTTTCATGATTACAAAGCTCCTTTCGTTAGCCCTGAAGGTTCACTTTCTTTAACCCTCAGAATCATTTCTCCTCGCTTAGAATCCTTGTGCATCATTGGAGGACTCGACCGCGTCAAGTATGACTACCACACTTGACCAGGAGAGCCAAAATAGCCTGAGTGAGGATTTCGAGGCTTCAAGATGCAGAAAGAAAGGTGCCGTAACGGCACATATCCATCTATACTTGGAGACATCAGAAATGACCACAGTAACTCGATGTTCCTCAATCATCGTGCTGTAAATGCGTCGCTTAAACCAGTTGCAATCGGGACAGATTCCAGAACTCCTTTAAATTACCAGTTCCTAAAACTACAAGGAATTTGCGACTTAGGTTCGATCCAAGGCACATGGGAAAGCATATATGGATATTGAGGCTTCTGAAGTGAAGCGAGATTGGTAGTAGAGATACTCAAGTAGAAGATGACATTTCTTTACAGCTAACAAGTCCCATCATCTACATACAAGTCAACCTGAAGCGGAACTCATGAAATCTAGATATTGTTCCTTGTTTGCATGTCTTGTCTGAGGGCGAGCAACGTACGGCCTAGCTAATTGTTGGTGATACTTTCTGTAGTGCTTAAGTCGGGCGTCTTGCCGATTGAACACTCTCTCGCACGAAGCGTTCTCACAAACATAGACTCTACTCGAATGTTTGAGCCGCTGGTGTCTTGCTAAGTTGCCCCTACGGTGAACACCACTGAATGCGGTACAGCAGTCATCTATATCGCAATATATCTCGGATGAGGCAGTGGAGGAGGACGTGGTACTGGTTTCGGACTGTAATGCCGTTGTGGATTGTACAGATGAATCCCACGAGTCTTCGCTGAAAGACACCGAGGGAACAATGTGTGCTGGTGGCGTTGCCAGCCGTATTTCGAAGGCTGGGTGATCGAAGAACTGGGCGGGATGTGTAGATTTGTGAGATAAGGACAACGGATTCCAGCTCGGTTCATGCAGCGACGTAGGACGCACCGTCAGCATGGAATCAACCATGGATATCGGATCTATGTCGTGGGATGAGATACATTCACATGTTGCAAAACCCACGCCAGGACGTTCGGTCAGCGTGGATTCGTCCATGGATCCATCCACGTTGGATACGCGTTGGTACGCTGCTCTTCCCGCGCTGGCATCGGTGCCACTATGACTATCGGCCATGCACAAGTCAGGCCCCATAAGCAGCGGTGGCCTTTGGTCTTCCTCTAGAGGCTACTAATGTCGGTCAGAGTGCAATTGCAAGTAAGCTTTCAGGCACTTACGTTATCTTTTGCCTTGCGTGAGTATGAAGACGTTTTGCATTGAAGCGGTGAGCTAGGAGGCTCAGCTACTGTATCTGAAGCCTGAGTCGACACAGGGAGCTCTGGAGTAAGGTCTGGATCATGTAAAATTGGCATTGAGCTCAACAGCGTAGCGTCAGTTTCGGCTGTGGTGGAGTTTGCTGAACTTCTTTGGTTTCCTTGGGTGATGATGTAGGTCTCCACTTTGGAGCACAAAATATCATACTGCTCCTGTTGCCCCGTATCGCCCTTGCGCTGTTGCCGTGGGGTCTCACATTTGAGGCCGTCTTTGCCATGGTAAGCCTCGAATTCGTGCTCGTCCAGTAAGTCTTCGTTACAGGTTGTGCAAAGCTTGAGGAAGGGTAAGTGCGGAGGCCTTCCTTTGGGTAGCCTACGGGTTAAATGCGTTCGGACAGCAGATACCGTAGTAACTGGGGCTGCTGTACATGTATAAGGCAAACCCAGTTTTGCCTGAGCTTTCCGGAATGCACATTGTAGGCTGCGCTTGGGTTTCTGAACCTCTTCTGTCATGGTTGAGGGCGTTGATTGTGACTCTGGCAAATGAACATTGGTATGCAAGACATGTGGGGACTGTTGTGATGTCACAAGTTGGTCCGCTGGAAGGCCATAGAACGATGATGCTGGCTGTTCGATTTGAGATGTGAATGACTTGCGGGTGCTTTTTCGCCGCTATAATGAACAACATTAGTGATGCCTCCTCAGTGCGGACTGATATGCAAACCTTGTTTACAATGTCCGAAGGCAAAGACAAAGAAATTGTCCTCTTTTTCCCTGTGAGCTGCGTGACAGACTGTCGTACTGGACCAGGATCAGCCTCAAGATTGTTGGCCCAAGACTGCGCAGTTGCTTTTTGTGGAGGTGAGTTTGAATCGTCGAAATTGCCGGCGTCAGTGAAATCAAATGATGCTATGAACGCATCAACATCAAATGCGGATGCAAGAGGAGCGTGCGGGGGGTCAACGAAGTCGAAGTCTTGGCGCAGAGCTGGGTATTCTTCCCGTGCATGTGTAACTCCATATGGAAGGACGTGAGCACCCGGAGCAGCATTGGTCCCTGGACGTAAAGATGGAAGTCCTTCGGAAGCTTGTAGAGGAATAGTATAAGTCGAAGGACCATTGGTATCTCGGGTAGCCATAATAAGCACAAGGCAGGAAGGACGAGGAGGACATCGAGAAAGCTTACGAGCGTGGGCATCGAGGTCTATAACGCTCTGCCATAACCAATCATCGTAGTTGAAGCGTTGCTTAGGGAGATGGCTTGCACAAATACGTACCTTACGATCTGAGGACCTGAGGATTTACGGACTTTCAGAGATGCCTGATGGCCTTACAAGCCAAATGCCAAGGACCACTGACAGAGCGAGGCGACGTAAGGTAGATGGAAGCCTGATCGCCATTGGGTCAGATCGCGGGCAGCTAGCCACATGCGATTTAGCAGACCGAAACAAGGCTGAGAGCTGCAGGAGAGAGCGGTCAATGGTATGTTCGACTCGCTTGAATACCAGACTGAATTGTTGAGATGAGGATATGCATATTCAGACACCTACATGGTCACAGTGACTTCTTAGATCCTGTGTATCTGACAGTAGCAATGTGCAGCCAGACGCCTGCTGTAGCAGTAGTCTCGTACTCTGAGGGGACAAATGTATTGAAAGGAAGACGGATCAATAATGCAGAGAAGAGAGACAATTGAAGGGGTATCAAAAAGGAACAGTATGCTCAACAACAGTTCGCACGCGGTTCATGCCCACACACCTAGAGTCCAGCTAGCTCTCTCTCCGCCCTTGGTAGAAAGTCCAGGGCCCATGCTCTGCCTCTGTGCGATTACAGAGACGTCCTTCTCTCTTGTGGCTCCTTGCAAACCATCTTTGAGATACTTTTCGCGTTCGACTTCGACGATGCCCTTGATGCGCTGCTGTGCTATCAGACTTGCACCTGCCCACGCACCTAATGTATCTACGCCTCTGATGGTGCCACCAACCAAGCTAGCAGGTGGCGGACCGTGACGTATCGCCATCTGAGCGAACTTTGTGTCTATAGGATCTTCTTGGGGCGATTGAAGCGCTGCGGGTAGTTGGGCAGGGGGCGCATTCGCATCGAGCGACGAGGGGAACATATCCTCGCCTTCTTGTCGGCGCATCTCCACATCTTCCCTCTGGTTTCGGAGTTTCTCTTCGCGACGCGCGCTTGCTTTCCCATAGCTTTTGACTGGGTCCCAGCCCTTGAGTTGTACCAGAGCATCCAGCTCCTTCAGTATGCGCGTCTTGAGACCGGGCAAGTTGGACACGCCGCCTGTTATGACGATGCGCGACATGCATAGTCGACGGACGTCTATGGGCAGCTGGACAAGGGCGCGGTATATGAGGTGATGCAGCGGAAGGTCTTCGTCGTCGAACTCGTGTATGGCTAACTCTGGTGCAAAGAGAGCATTCTCGGTAGGCTTGGCTAGTGATGCGAACGATATGGTGAGTTCGGTAGGAGGGGTGTGTTTCGGGAAAGGTATGGTGACAGTAGGTGGCGGTGACTCGACAGCGTCTTCAAACTCCTCTAGCACAGGCGCTTCTCGTGCAGGAAAGTATACGGTTCTTCGGTTCGATCTAGGGACAGGCTTGCACCATCCGACGCGCGTAAGGACTTCCTCTGCCTCTTCAAAAGATACGTCTGCCTTGGTAGGGCCTGGCTCAGCATCGTCGAGTTCGGCGTTGAGTAGCTTCGCCATCTCCTCGCTCAATAGCCTGCCTGCTCGTACACTGCGCCTCTCAGCTACCTCGCGATACTCGCAAACTGCGGTCACCAGTGTCTCGGCCCAGCCAATGTCCACAACCAATGCTGAGCGTAATCCTGCTGCCACGGTCGACAGCACTGGCGTGGACATGAGGGTGATGCTGGGGGCTTGGAAGCTCGTAAACAGCACATCGAGAACTGTCGACATGAGTGCATGCGGCATGCGGGGCGGCATTGCAAGTAGCACGCGGCGTGGCTTCGTGTCGAGCAAGAAGTATTTGCCGTACGCCTCTCGCATTGCCCGCTCGAACTTGTCCTCGACCAGCCCCAAGTCGACCTTGCTCAGGTCCGTCCGGTAGAGCTCATACTCGTGCCCCCAGTCCAGACCCCGCTTCCGCCTTCTTCTCTTGTGCGTATATTGGGGGTCCCACTGCCTGTAGTCGCCCACCCTGCGCTGGTCGTCGGGCCCAAACGGGAGGGTGCATCGCGGGGCGCTCTCGCCGGGAAAGCCGGCGCGCACGAAGCGTGAGCCGACTTCAATCACGACGTATTCGTCTTCGGTACGGAAGGAGCCGCCAGGTGAGCCGAAGGAGGATGAGATGGTTCGTAGAATGGGTGTTCGCGGGGACTCTCCCAGGTCAGCGAGGCGCGGCGTTGTGCCCCTTGTGCTGCGGCTCAGGGAGCCCGAGACTTTGCGCTCGCCGCCAGAGGACATTTGGATTACGGCGAGCAATGTTGGGGATGGAAGTGGCTAGTTCATGGCAGCCCTCACAAGCTCAATGGCCCAGCAGCGTCGCTTTCGCTTGCCTGTGCCTGGCGTTCGTCACTGCTGTAGCTACCAGAAACAGAGCTTGTGCGTTCGAGGGTTAGCGCTGGGCTGTTGGCCCGAGCTCAGGAAAAAGTTCGAGCTGGGATTCCGCACTGTTCGAGCTTGCGACAACTCCCATCGCGACTTCCCACACCACGTCCAAATTCACCACGGAGGGTAGTTGCGTTTCGCGATCGCCATTGGACCTACCCCACGACCGACCACTCGCAAAATGGGTCTTTTCATCCTCTCCGAGACTTCGGCAGGCTATGTCCTGTTGAAGTCCAAGGACAAGAAGCTCTTGGGCGCAGACAGCAAAGAGTCCTCAGACATTGTCGAGCAGCTCAAGCTCAAGAAGTTCGCAAAGTTCGGAAGCGCCGTCGACGCTCTCGAGCAGGCTGCTGCGCTCCACGATGGAAAAGTCACGCCTATGCTGTCGTCTCTTTTGGAGGATCTGAAGGATGAGACCAAAGCCACTTGTACGCATACTCCGACATGGCGAACAGAACGTCGCAGCTAACATATCTCAAGTGGCCGTTGCCGACCCCAAGCTCTCCAACTCGATTGCGCAACTCCCAGGTCTCTCCCTCAAGACAGTGTCAGACTCTTCCACTCAAGATGTATTCCGTGCCATCCGCGAAAACCTGACTTCGCTCCTTCCCGACCTACTCCCCGCTGAGGAGGCCGCGACCAGGCTTGGTCTTGCCCATTCCCTGTCGAGACACAAGTTGCGCTTCTCGCCCGACAAGGTCGACACCATGATCATCCAGTCCATCGCATCGCTCGATGTGCTCGACAAGCAGCTGAACACCTACGCCATGCGCGTCAAGGAATGGTACGGCTGGCACTTCCCAGAACTCGCCAAGAGTAAGTTTCAGTAGTGCCCGACGTCCACCGCTTCACGAGCACGTTACTGACTATTGCTGCAGTTCTCAACGACAACCTTGCCTACTCTCGCGTTGTTCTTAAGATGGGTTTCCGAACCAACGCGCGTGAGAGCGACCTCTCTGAGATTCTGCCCGAAGAGATTGAGGCGGCTGTCAAGGCCGCTGCAGAGATCTCCATGGGTACCGAGATCACAGACGAAGATTTGGAGGCGACCTCTGCTCTTGCCGAGCAGGTTGTCGACCTTACCGAGCACCGTCAAAACCTCGGCAGCTACCTGTCCAACCGTATGCAGGCACTCGCTCCTAACCTGACAGCTCTTGTTGGCGAGCTCGTTGGTGCGCGCCTCATTGCCCATGCTGGATCCCTTATGAACCTCGCCAAGTCGCCTGGTTCTACCATCCAGATTCTCGGTGCTGAGAAGGCCCTCTTCCGTGCCCTGAAGACCAAGCACGACACACCCAAGTACGGTGTATGTATTTGACCTCCCCAACGTATTTTGCCTGTACTAATGTTACCAGCTCATCTACCACGCATCCCTCATTGGCCAAGCTACTGGAAAGAACAAGGGCAAGATTGCCCGTATGCTCGCTGCCAAGTCCGCCTTGGGTCTGCGCGTCGACGCCCTCAGCACCTGGGGCGTCTCATCCGAGGACACCTCCAAGGAGCCCACTGAAGAGGAGAAGTCCCAGCTCGGTCGCGACGCACGTCTCACCATTGAGAGGAGACTACGCGCCCTTGAGGGTAAGCCGCTCAAGAGCATTCCTGCCGGAAATGCAAACCAGACAACACTTGGACAGAAGAAGTGGGAGGTCAAGGAGGCACGGAAGTACAACCCAGACGCTGACGGTCTTACTGGTGATGAGCCAGCTGCCGATGCGCCTGCACCCAAGAAGTCAAAGTCCGCCAAGACCAACGGTACACCCAAGAAGCTGGTACAAGAGGTTGACAGTGACGAGGAGATGGCAGATGCCGACGGCGCTGAGGATTCATCCGACTCCAGCTCTGAAGACAAGCCTGCCGCAAAGGGTGACAAGGCAGCGAAGAAGGCGGAGAAGGAGGCCAAGAAGGCACGAAAAGCTGAGCGAGCCGCAAAGCGCGAGGCCAAGGAAGCGAAGAAGGCTGCCAAGGAGGCAAAGAAGGCCGGAAAGGAGACCAAGGATAGCAAGAAGCGGAAAGCCGACGATGGTGACGAGAAGGTAGAGAAGAAGAAAAAGAAGAAGAGCAAGGACTAGATGCGTCGCAACCCCACGGAGACTTATGTATCTGTAGCCATGTTCTTACAAAAGAGGGTACGGCGTTGTATGGGTTTGAGCTTGCTATGTTCAGGCGAGTGGCGCATCAGGGTTCGGGCTTCTGTAGTTTTATCTTTCCAAGTCCTTTTACGTTGCATGATGGGGATGCGGTGGATGGATACCCGCCAGTTGGTAGCATACAATCACATGTTCATAAACTTCAATCGTGTTGGCTGTATACGTGCATGGTGATGTATCGTTGATTAATGTTCAATCAATCTGCCATGTGGTTCCGACCCCTTCATCCATCTACTCATCCTTTGCAAGCGCCCATCTACTGCTCATTGAGAGCAAGCTCAAGCCTTCTTCTTAGCTTTTCTCCTCTTCTTGTTAGCACCCAGCAGCTTGTTAGCAATCTTCGGCATCTCCATGTTCTCCACTCCAGCGGGAATATTGCCTTCCTCCTCATCGAAGACCTGTTGGGTAATGGCTAGAATGTCGTGTAGTTCGTCTTCAGTGAAACGTGTACCCGCCTTTCTGAGCGTCAGCGATCGTGCACGTGAAAGAGGTTAATCAGTAGTCAAGCATTACCTCCTCAATGACCAACTCTAGCATGACTTGCGTAGTAGGCCTCAAGTTATACAACTGGAGATACTCTGCCTTATTCAGCCGGTACTTGGGCGCCAGCGCGCGGAATAGGCTGTTTGGTCCTCGGTACAGCGTCATGGGCCGGTCGGGATGTTGGTCAGCGAGTGATGAAGTCGTGTAATCTGGGGTTTGCAGATAGGCGAGCCCCTTTCGTATGTTAGTCTTGTTCGAAAGTATACTTTGCACCATGGAACACCTACATCTCGCAACATGTGGTTTAGACCAGACGGCTTCTTGCGTTTCCGATCCGTCCCATCGGCGCCTGTGTATTCTGCGTCTTCTTGCCGCAGATGCAGGAGGACTTCATGGTTAGAGAGTAAGGCGGATTGGGGGGTTTTGATCTAACAGAAGTATCAGTGAAAAATGTCAGAGTGATGCCAGAGTAATCCATGGACGTTGCGGAGAAGACCGAGTGCGAATATTGTACGATTGGAATATACAACTGAAAGATTGATTTCAGGATTCAAATGTGGAACTTACATGCATGTTGATGATCACGCGGCGCTCACGCAGTCTTCCGAGCCGATGCCGTGGGTGTCTAGTGATCACAAGATTGATTCGTGTAGCGGGTATACCTCGGTTGCTAATATATCCAAGTCAGATAGCTCCTTTGAACAAAAATTGCTTGTTTCACTCTAGCAGATTCGAGAGAAAAGACAAGATCTTAAAGGATCGCATATGATCATTGCAGAGCTTTTCGTGATGTTTCCGGATCTTGAACTCTATTCTTGACAGACGAAAGAGGCTAGAGCCGTGAAAACGCGTTAAAAGAGCGCGTACCTGAAATGAGTGACCGCACTTTGCGAAGAAGCTCTTGTAGAAAAAAGACTTCTTTGAGTTTTGTAACAGTGCGTACTACCTAGGTACTAGCTAGAGTCACGTCTACATGGTGTTGGAGCCAAAGTGAGACCCGGTAGGTGAGCAAAGGGCAGTTTTTCGCGCTAGCGGCTTGGCACGTCGAGGGTAGGGATGCCGTGGCGATAGATAGTGTTGGAGTCAAATCTGAAGACACTCAAGAAAGACGGATTGACGATCATTACTGGGTATCATTACTATGTTACTTGGTTCCTTTTGTGCTGTTCCAGACAGGTCTCAATCGATGCCGCTAACGCCGCGCAATGCTATGCGAAATTTGAGATCATCGCGACCCGAGATCATGATCTTCGTACACCCGTGACACCGTTGCCTCACGCCCAGTGTTTATATCTTCTCACCACATGTGCTTCCTCATCATATTCCTCTCTGTGCCCTGGCAGTAGCCCTTGTCTTTTTAACCATAAAGACACCAACTTCTACGCCTTCGCTTGGCTCACCATCGTGGTAGTCTCGCTCCGACACTCCCTCCAGAACAGCCTGGATCAGAGTCGCTGCACTCATCTCGGAGCTCGGGAGCTTCTTCGACTTACTAAAATACTTGGTGATAACGTCCCGTACACGAGGCTTCTCCTGCTTGATCCACCAATCGTCCGCCCATGCCGACCGTTGCAACAAGATCTCCTCTTTCGCCGCATGTATGACCTCGTAGTTCGCCCTTTTCTCGGGGTTTGAATGTCTCTCAACCATTGCTTCGCAATATTTGCGGACTTGCGCTTCTAGGTGGTCGTATTCGTCCAGATAGTTGACTGAACTCATTTGACCTAGACTCCTGCCTAGCTCAGAGTGAAGGTCATGGACCACCGTTACGGTTCGTAGAAGCGGGTCGAGAATGGGTCCAAGGTACTGCTGCATGAAAGTCCTCGCGCCTGTTTTAGTCGGGTAGATGAAGAGAAGGACACCATCGTCACTAGACAGCTCAATCAGGCGGTCGTACAACAAGGATCTGCCCCGAAACGTGAACATCTCAGAGAACTCGTTCGTGTTCGTAGGTGGGATGTATCGCTCTACGATAGAGACATTAATGCTTCCAGGTGGCACAACGGGGCGAGGCGATGGAGGAAGGAGTTTTGAATCGAGTTGGTAATCAGGAATGGCCACTGCACTGTCGAAAACTTTGCTGGTAAAGTATGAATCCCCTCCCACAGCAGGACCAGGGGTGGATGGTGGAGACTTGGGCAGGTCCATCAGCGTATAACGGCCAGGAAGCGCATGGAATACATTGATCCATGAAGTTTGCGTTGACGATCTGTCATGAATCGAAGCAATAATCTGACCAAAGATATGGCCCGATGTCGAGGGGCAAGGAAGCGCGTGGGATAATATCTTGACTGAATCCAGGTCCAGGCATCCAGATTCAGTTACTAAGCTGCTCAGTACATGAAACTACGCATCACCCTAGTGTCAGAAGTACTCACTGATGGTGCGTTTGGCCTCCTCTATCCACGCTGCCATTCTAAGCGCGTCGCTGAACTCGTCGTGAAACTCGTCGTGAGTCGGTACAACGATGGGGGCTTGGGGAGGAGCAGTCGAAGTGGCAGTGCCGTGGAGGTTTGGCGACACGCCTGGCTCAGAATTAGGAGGTGAACCCAGACCAACCGTCCCTACGTTCACAAAGGATCCCCAACTGATCGTCCCCGGCTCCGTATCCGAGGGAGGCGTGTGAGTTGACACAAGATGTCCGACGCGGGCTCTAGCTGCCTTGGGACTGGTAACGGGGGTATGGCTGGCCCCGTTGGCGTGACTGAAGAAGTCGAGTGGTGGGCTGAGTGCATGGAGAGGGTCCTCTGGCTTTGAGAGAGGTCCAGCGCCTAGTGGAGAGAAAGACTGATGTGCTTGAGTTGGAATACGATCAGGGTGGGGCGCAGCAATGCCTAGTACATCAAACGAGGGTAGACGCAGATTGTGCGTACTTCTAAGGACCGTGGACGCGGGAAGCGAGAAGTTAGTTTGAGGAAGGTTGAGGGTCAGATCAAGATGTGGCCGGTCCTCGATGGTGGGAGTCCTAAGAGGCTGGGGTAAGACGGAAGGCAGCGGGAAAGGCTGCGGCAGAGAAGCGTCGAGAAACGAAGAGATGTCGTTGGGAACCGCTATGTCGGGGCAGGGACCCGCATCTATGCCTTCATCCGGCGTGGGTGGGATAGAGTTGGGCTGGAGCGCTTCGTGGGAGGGTTGCTGAAAGTGAGGAGGGGCAGTCTCAGCATGAAATTGCTGTGTAAGATGTGAAGGAGACTGGGGATCCGCCATCATGGCCAACGAGGTCTAAGATGTTTGCCGGCAACGCGAACAATCACGCTACGTGTTGGGTAAGTGGGATGAACAGACGCACGGAGACGTGGCTGAAAGATCTGGCGTCCAGGTACAAACGCGGTAGCGCCGCGGCGGCAGTAACGGCCGCGTGGAAGTATTGACAGGTAGGAAGGGCTGGCGGTAAACGAGTGAATGGAGGCCTGGGGGAGACCGTTGCTGGCTCCAAGACTTGAGAGCAACAGCAGCAGACCAGGCGAACGCAGTGAGTGGACTAGGTGGTGGTGGGCTAGGTTGGGTTCGCGGAGTGAATACCCGATGTTCGCTGCAGTTGATACTAGCGTGTTTTGGGGGGCCAGGGTCTCATCAGCAGAGATCTAGACCTCGGCCACAAACAATTCACACCAGCAGAATGGCCTGACCGCGCGTGGTTCTCCCTGCATACATGGTCGCCTGGCTCAATCGCCGTCAAGCCTGTCTGTCCATCGGTCTTTGTGGTGCCGTTGATTATTTCCACCGACGTCTATCATGTCCCTCCTGCACGACAAGCCCGGCTAGTCCTGAAGCTGCTTGATACGAATTGAACGCACGCCTCCCGTGGGGACTCAGTCGTGCCAGTGTACATGAATACGGCGCTTACCTTCCTGACTGCGGCACTGTTGTTGCGCTATAAGAGTGCAGCCTGTCTTTGACTCTGCCCGACTAGTCGGCAAACTGAAGAAACCCCAAGCAGCCCCACAACCCATGCTCACAATATCACTCATCATACGTTTTGGTGCGAGCTTACTGCGTGTGTGTCCCTACTCCCTTGGCTTTCCCTGCGCATGGTCTGACAAGCCAAAGCTATCTACCCGCAGTCACACAGAACAGCCACACTCAGCTGCCGCGACACGCTTTGCCCTACAAGGATAGGGGCCATGCGAGTCTAGGCTTCCATCGAGATGTCTCTCAACTCTGCCTAGCGAGCGCAGTTTTGGTTGACAGCGTTGGAAAACTTCTTTTTAGCTGGATGCGTCTTTGGTTAATGATCAGCGCTGTACTGCTCGTCACGGGATCTTCCGTTTGCGCACATTTCGATCTTGCCGCCACTGCATTCAGGGTTTAATCGTTTGATCCCAGTCTTGGTTTACAAACGTAAAAGTTCGCTATCAAATGTGCGACCGATCCACTTGTGCATCCGCTGCAAGACATTTCTCACAAGGACCATCGAGCGAATCACCTTGCTTGTTCCCCCGCCTGCATGGGAGAATCCGGCGAAGAAGCGTAAACACCATGCCAAGCTGTTTGCACTTGTAGACTACAACAGCTCACAGTGAGCTGTGGTGCAGCAGCTTGCTATGACTTGTTCTCAGGGGTTCTCTCCTTCTTTCCTCATTAGTCCAGCTCTTCTTTCATCCAGACACTTCTCTCGAATCGCTACGCCACCACTGTGTCGACATAGATTCAAGTATCAAACTATCCACATTAGCACCAACCTTAACATGGAAATGAGACGTGGTATAACGTACTTGCCACTTCTGCAGTCCCCTCTCTCTTCCTCCAGCTGTACTTGCACTAGACTTTGACGCCATCTTCGGCTCGTGTAATTTCACATACTCCTGCGCAAGGATGGGGCACGCTTTCTTGTGCGCCTTAAAATGCGCCTTTTGGCAGTCTTTGTTGCAGTAAGTAACACTATGGCACTTGATGCACTGCTTAAGCGAGTCCGGGGACTTTCCACATTGCGCACATGCCTGAGGTGGTGCTGTCGACGACGAGGAAGTGGGCGTTGGCTCTGCAATGGGGGGTTGTGACGATGCTGAGTTTGATGATTCTGGCTGTGTGGTAGGTGCAACGTCCGGGTTGGCCGTCGAATCCGCCATTTTTCGAGAAACAGACAAGTCAAATCTTCCAGAAGATGGGTGTGATAATTGCCAAACGCTGTCTCTGATGTCGTTGTGCTTTCTCTGGATTCACCTAACAGACGCCAAAAGTTGAATGCGATCGACATTGTGCCTGCAGGGATAGAATGCAAGCGACAAGACTAGGTCGATTTCGTGCTAGCCTCGAAAGTATCAGTTACTAATGTACTCTGCCACGACACAGCCACTGTGCAAGATGTCTCACGAAGTAAGTCATTGCTAATTTCACTTCATCACTATGACTCCAGTGTCACGGCTGCTTTTGTGGCGTCATGAAGCTCGGTAACGGTAACATAACATCTCGGCAAGGACATGAAGCTGCGAGACTATCCAAAGCCAACGGTCATCAGCTCGTTGCATTGTCCCAATGGCCCTATCCTGGTCACAATGGCATGTCTAAGAAACCTCACTGTGATTCCCCAGAGCGTGTGTTTGTGATTCAAAGCAAGATTTTGTTCTCTGTCGCTACTACCGTCCTCTTCGCCAGTTGTTCCTTTGTATGCCCAGATAATCAGCCACTTGTGTTGTCTTGTCTCTATCCGGCTGCCTAGATATCTGCGTCGGAACAACAAGACAATCTAAGTGTTATCAAGCGGGCACTCACTGTATTTCGGTCTTCACTGTGATACAGTCGGTGCAGCAGCCTCAACATCCCTTACGCACGCCACTCTAGTGGACGATCAAAGCTATATCGACCACTTCAACTTGCTGCATCGAAGGCAAACAAGTTTTAGTATCCGTTATTTGCAGTATAACCGGGTTCATGGAGGATCTGTTAACTTTCCTCCACTCGCTCCGTCAGCTATAGGATGTTTCTCACTGATTGTCAAGGCATCGGACCCGGCGACATGAGTCCAGAAAAGCTGTTAGGACTGCAAGAGAAAGGCACTCATGAAAGCTCGGGACGAAAACTTGCAAACACCATATGGAGGGAGGGAGAAAACTATCGGTATGCGAATCGATAGATGTATGTCGTAGTAATGTATCCTACACTCATCTTGGGTCATGGCAATTTAGGCTGGCAGATATAACCCACGACAGAGTTGAGTCCATGAGGTGCTGAGGAGGTACCTTGCTTGCTACATCGAGCTGCCATCAACCGTGCTATGGGACTAGAGTACAACTAGTTCACGCGACTGGATCCCTCTCTGACTCTTCCGCACATGTCCCCGTTCTCGTTCACGCTGTTCCACGCCCAACCTCTCTCAACCAATCTTCGCAACACAATCCTGCAGCCACTTTTCTATGTTGAGCCTCACAGTTTCCTGTAAAAGCTACACATTCGCGTCTCGATTGCGCCGATATGCTCGCGCATGCTCAGTCATAGCGTTAAACTCCTGTTGTCGCCGCTGCAGTTCTTGGCGATCCCTTTCGACGCGTAGTTCACGTTGTGCTAAATCTCTCTCACGAGCATCCAGAGCTGATGTACAGCGTTGAAGCTCGGCTTCTCTAGGATGAGGTAACGGTACTTTCTTACTTGATCCACTTCCACGCATAGTGCCTCTGTTACTTGGAGGCTGATCGGTTATTCCTGGCGCAGGCCGGCTGTTCGTTGGCCTACCTTTCGGCTGTTGTGACGTGTTTGAGGCTGTTGTTACTGGGGCAGCTTGCTGACCAAAGGGAGATGTCCCGGAGAAGGGAAACCCATTAGCGAAGGGAGACCCCTCGGAGAAGGGAAACGTCCCGAAGAAGGGAAACCCCTCAGAGAAAGGAAACCCGCCGGAGAATGGAGTCGTAGGCTCCTGACCGTGGTGTGATGTTGATGGCACCTGCGGTCGAGCTACAGGCGCAGACGGTCGACTATTGCGGATGTATGGCCGTGGCTCACGCTGAGGGAGTGGTACTGTTGCAGGTGGTCGAGACGCGGAATCTTGGGTGAGAGGCGCATCATTTGCCTCATTTTCCAAGCTCTGATTGCGGGCCGATACGTCCTGGTACTCTGCTTGAAACCATCTAGTGCGACACAGCGGACAAAGGTTCGCGGTTCCTTGGGTTTTGCGACGGGAGAAGATCTTCTCGAGACAATGGCGACAGAACTCGTGGTTGCACTGAGCGGGCGGCTGCACTACGATGCGGATCGCCTGATGAATACCACGATCGTACTCCTCAGTACATATCGGACAGTGAGCTTTATCGGATGGATCGCGCTCGCTGCATGGCCTGAAACAACGGCGCATGAAGTCGTTGAAGGCGAGTGGCCGTGTTGCCATATTGATAAGATGCTAAAGAATGTTCTCAGCGTGGTGTAGGAAAGTGAGTACACTACAAAGATGTTACTATCGGAGAAATTGCGGTTAGTGTTGAAGAAGGTGCGGGTGTGTTGATGAGTCTAGAAGGAGATTTCAAGACCCTACAACAAGCACATAAAGTTCGCGTTCACCAGTGAATTCCCGGACACAGAGCCACTGGTGTAGCTTGAAGACTTAGTTCATGTGTGGTGGGATAGACGGAGTCGTGAGTTGCATGATGTAATAGTTCACACATCGTGGTAATCCGTGGATAGTTGGTATGATCAGTAGTTGCTGTGGTCTTTCGTATCTGTTCAATCTTAGCAATAGACCACGCGGGTTCTGTGAATAAGATCAGGTGATCGTGGCTACTCATATGGGTACTGAACTACGCTATCCTGTCCCTATATCATATTACCTAGGTAGCATCGAGGGGATCGTAAATCGTGGGGATCAAGATTGATGAAAATTTGAAGTTCAGGCGAAGAAGCCTGGTGGATGCACTCCAGCAAAAATACGTCCACTGTCATGCAAACCTATACCGTGAGCAGCAGGCCAACGATCCTCATCGCTGGTAAAGTAGTGATCCAGTAACTGGTCGAGTGTACATGCGTATCGATCTACCTCTGCTGACAGCATGCGTATATGCAGTTTTGTAAGGGATTCCGAAGCACATCGGCACCTCTTCTTGTTTGCAGTGCTTCAAAGATCAAGGTAAAGTGTGTGATGGTGAAGAGTTGATCAAAGGGGGCGATGACCTCATGTGCGCATTGCGCCATTGGCTGAATTGCCCGAACCCAGCCACGCGCCAGCCTTGTCTTATCGCAAACATTGACAGCTCGTCGCACATCGCAACGAAGTCCACCTCTAATCCTTCGCAGTGATGTAGGTATGCGCCAGCTTGTTTCGCTCAGGTGAATGTATAGGTCAAACCGGGAGGAAGGCGTGTGCTAATGGTCAAGTTGTTTTGCTAAGTCTTTTTGCTAAGGCAGGTACTTCTCATGTCTACTGGCAACATTGTGCAACCATTCGTTCTTGCAGAAGACTTATCTTCGCTGCGCCACTGTAGAGACCCATGGCTGGGTCAGATGTGCTCGCCCCGAAAGTCAGCAATGACAACACAGCTATTTGACTCGCTACGCCGAAGCTTGGGCTCCGTGTCAGCCTAGGTTCAGACGCACAGAGTACGGACTTCGCCAAAAGTCCGTTGCGTGACCTCCGTCCGTAAATCTGACTGTATGAGCCAAGAGCGTGCACGCACATACCGGTGCACACATAGTCCGATGCCTACCAGCATACGTAGTCCTGATGGCTTTGTTGGTCTAATAGCAGATCCAAGAGACGCGTATATCGCGAGAATGGCAGCGGTATGAGGGACCTGTCCGAAGTAATCAAAGTGTTTGCTAACATCTACAAAACGTCTTTTTGCTATCCATAGTGAGCATTGGTCAAGTGCATCCGAGAGATGGAAGAAGCCCCAGCATCATACGAGTAAATCGCCCAACTTTTGATGTATCGTTGAACCCTTCTGATGATATCGCTGACATGAACAAAGTGGTACTAGTAGCAATGAGTCTCGTTGAGTACTTGTCCGAGACGTGCTTGGGGTACTAGAAGGCGTCAAGGGGATGTACAGGGCGGGCGTTTCCTGTGGCTTGATTAATGCGGAAAATGCTGGAGGTACACGCGTCAGGACCCCAAGTTTGGTGACATCCAGCTTTGATCTTACGTGTGGCATAGAGGTCGGCAAGGCTATATATCTTGTCTTCGCAACATGGTTTCGTTGCTTCACCACCCATCAGCTCCAGCTTTCTTCCAGATACGTATCTTCCCTACCACCACCATGAAATCTCTCCTGTTCTTTTCAATCATACCTTCCACTCTTGCACTAGTCGCACCGCTCGAGCGCCTGAAACCCAATGTCTATAAACGTGACGCACATTGGGAAACAAAGTCTTGGTCCCATGGTCCCGACACCGCCACCATTACCGTAACAACGACTTTGATTGTCACCATTAACGCCATCCCGACAGATGATGGAACGTTTCCCAACACCACTACCACGGAAACGAGCGTGACAGCGACATCCGGCGACGGCCTCGCACCAACTACGTTGATCACGCAGCCCAGTGGGGCTTCTACGCCGCAAGAGACAAGTGATATCCTAGCACCTATCACGTTGATCGATCTCAGTACGGCATTTTCTCTGTCTACCGCCACTGGAGATGCGGATGGCGCCGCACCTACACCAAATGATATCGAACCAATTACGTTGATCGACATCAGCACTGCGACCCCCATCTAGATGGAATCAAGACTGGGGGAAGGTTGTGGAAGAGACGTCGGTATGATACGACGTTGTATTGGTATAATCAGAGAACCCGTAGCTGGAGGATTATTGTGGTCTGCCTCGTGATGGAAGTGGTTTCGTTGTACATATTGTCTTTCTTTGGGTCTTGAATCTAACACACTCGCTTGATGCGTTGACTAAGTCTTACACCATTAACAATGCTATTCATGCCGTTATGTCGGGAAGATCATTGGTAGTAGTCTGCGTTCACGCTATCCTGAACACAACGCACGAATAACAGAGGAATTTGGAGTATGGGAATCGGCGTCCGAAGTTTTGCACAAAATTCGTTTAGACCTCAAAAGGTTTCGAGGGTCGGTCGTTAGGATAAATGAAAGACTCCTTGAGGCCAAGAACCTGCACCATCAGTGGTCTGCAACAAGTACTCTCTTAGTGGCAGCTTTCAAATAGCTCCGTCGCACTCAACCGCATACTACTGCTGACTTTGCTGCCTCTTCTCACATGTTTTGCTGCATATGGCCTGCCGTAAATTAGCCTCTCTCTGCCAAATATATGCCAAAGACAGTATGACTTACACGTCTCCAACGACCTTCTTCAGGACCAGACTATCCACCCATTCCCCCTTGATCATCTCTTTCTCCTTCGTGAGGCTGTGTCTTTCAAACCCCAGCCTTTCTGCTAACTTCCAGCTTCCCTCGTTCCTTGGATCACACTCAATCTCCATTTCTAGTTTCCCTTGATCCTGCAGTCGTTCCTTCAGAGCATCAATGAAAGCCGTCATGGCTTCGGTAGCGAAACCTTGACCTTGCATAGAAGGCAAGAAGGAAAACCAGAGGTTGGCATGGGTGACTGGCTTGATGGTGGTTTCTCCTGGTAGGGAGTCGGAGTTCGCTTGAGACGTCTTGGCGCCTACGCGGCCGATGAACTGCTCGTCGAGGTTTTCGACAGCAAGTTCGTACTTGGTTCGGGGTACATCGTTGTGGTTGCGAATGTTCTCCAGGACGAGCTGACGAGCTTCTTGGCGTGTACGTGGGGGCCATTCCTGATAACGTGCGTTTTGCTCGTTTCCCTCGAGAAGAAAGTAGCTTTCCTCATCCTTCATGACGAACTCGCGGAGGAGCAAACGACGTGTTTTGATGGCGCCAAAGCGTTCGCCTTTTACATTTGCGCGGGCGATGGCTGCGAGTTCTTCCTTCGTCAGAACACCAGAGGCTTTGAGTATCTTCTGAATGACATTTCCCTTGCCGATCATATAGTCGATGATGTTGTTTGTCTTGGCTGCAAGTTCGAGCTTCACACGTGCATATTCATCCCTCAACTCGACGTTTGAGCGTAGCGTGTCACGTAAGCTGAGATGATTGCGCGTTTGTGCAACACCGTCGACGCACACATAGATGTTATGGCGCAAAGACTGGTTGGGGTCTTTGAAGACATGACGGTCCTCGATACCCAGTTCCCCAAGGTAGTCGAACTTTGCCTTCGCTATGAGAGTGTCGATAGCAGGCTGGACATTGTCGCGAGTAACTATGATGTCGACATCGATGATAGGTTTGGCGACAAGGCCAGGCACTGATGTGCTACCCACGTGTTCGATCGATAGGTAATCGACGTCCTGAAGGTAATGTTCCAACTGTGACTTGATACTTTCGAATTGCTGCGGCCATTCCTTGTTGTATTGCTCGATGATGACAGACATGATCGCTGATAGAAGGGAAAAGTAAAGTGCAAAGCCGGTCAAGCTGGCGATGCCTGATAGAGGTCAAGCAGGTCAATGTGTCGGCTAAACCTACCGAACTTGTGAAACGCTCTCGCTTCTCACCCGGGTGCTCCCGAGGGGTGCAGGAGCAAGAATGTCGGTGTAATAAAAAGCATGAAAAGGGCACAAGAATGAACAAGAAAGCGGATACCCGAGATTGATGTCGTACATACAGCCAAGATGCCGCTTGCGCACAAAGGGCGAATGCGACGCGGAGATACGGGCGAGTCTCCGGCGCGCTTGGTTTGATTGCGCTCCAGCCCTTCAGCCCTTCCCACATAACGAACTAATCATACTCTTCAATCTTGATCACCGGGATGTCTGCGTACGGTGGAGGGGCGTCGCGGCCCAACAAAGCAGTCTCGGCATCCGAGTCGGTGCTTGTATTTTCCTGCTGCCTTCGCAAGAACAGGCGACGAGCCATGATGAGGCTAGCCGCAACCAGTGCAAAGAGCGGAAGAAGCAGGGTATTTCCTCCAAGCTGTATTTTGCCAACGAAGAAGTTCCAGGTTCTCGACCACGTGCCAATTTTGCCATACTCGTCCCATTCGCTTGGATCGAATGACGTTTGCATCATAGCCAGCTTTCCACACTTCATCCTAGGTGGTTGCATTCTGTTCTTGGCCTCAACAACTTGTACGTCTTGGATGGAGAGGATGTAGGGACCGCCCAAGTTCTTGTCATACACAAGGTGCTCATCATATTCCTTGTGCAACAATATCTGAACGACCTTCTGACCCATCTTGATCGGCTCAGGTCCTTCTCCCCAGGGCAGACCAGTCACGTTGAATTGAAGCCACAAGTGTTCGGGCTTTTGAGCGCGAAAGATGGTATGCTGGTATTGGAGCGGAAACATCATTCTCCTGTGCTTGTATAGCTCCAATGTGTCGTTGTCTTCGTCTTCGGATTCCATCTCGTCCTGCTGCATATTGGTGGATACCTGTACGGCATTGATATGAAGGGGCATGGGGTCCAGAGGGAAGATGCGATTGCCGTTGAGGAGTAACGCATCGTTGAACTCGGTCATGTCGAACTTGAGCAACTGATTTATGGTTAGCAAGCGCAGCCTCCTGCATGCGATGGGATACACCCACTAGCGAGCTGTTCGGAGGCGGATGTAGCCATTCCGCCTTTTCAGGGCTCGTCCAGACACGAACAGGGCATCCGACGCATCCCAGCTTCACGGTGTATTCCCGGCCCGCCTCCCTCTCGATGACTTCATCCTGATCCAGTATGTTCTGTGGTGTGATGGCCGCTGCAGCCAGGGCCGAGAGACTAAGAAGAGCGAGTGAACGCATAGTAATGCTGAACGAAAATGAGAGAAGAAGGAAATACAATGTTCGATTTGACTGAGGTTCGCACCAGGAGGCGGGAGATGGCCGACGATGCCGGGCGACGCGTACACACAAGCCTCGGGCTACGGCACGCTAGCGCAGGGACCATTGACGTGGGGGATGCTGATTTTAGAAGCCGATCTCCCTCTAGAACGAATGGTATCCATACTGTTCTTTGCGTATGTTAGACTGTTAAGCTGTACAGTGCTCGCGATGGCTGACGATCGTGTTCGCAGGTGCATCGGCTTTGATCAAAGCCAACGCAGCTCATCACCGATTTGTTATCCACAAGGGAGTAGCACAATACACCTCGTTCGAAGACAACATTATTACTACGTCTTAAAATACTGTGACTGACGGGTAGAGGGATATGGCTAGGGCAGCTCTACCAGCTTCCTCATCAATTCCTCAGTCATCGACCTGGCTCAAGCACGGCATAGAGTTATACAAAATTTATGATCTTTGTCAACGGTAATGTCTCGCTCTGCTACTAGCCTCCTAACTCCCACGCTGGCTTAACAAACTAAGCAACGCTATAGTAAACCGGAGCTAGAAGTAGCGCGAATGCTATATAGGTGCGAGACTCGATTTTGCGATTTGAGTGCCGATTGATGAGCTTTCTACAGGCCGTCTCTCATGCCGATGGTATACGCAAAGTGCATGGAACATGTTGCTCCATCTTCTGCCACGTGGTGGACTGGGTACCTCTTCGTACCTTGGCATAGCTGTGGAAAGCTTCCGATGAAGTATGAAGTAGAGAGCTACCAAGTGATTGCTTGCTTCTGGACCGGATGCTAACCTCGTTGCAACCTTGTGCAGAAAGATTGGGAAATCGACTACCAGCAGACACAGAAGATGGTGCGGGTAGTGTCGCAGCTGGTGAGGGTTGAGCCAATGGCTCTACCAACGTCGCTGGAGTCTTCACTAGCGACAGAAGCAGTGTTCACTTTCACCCTCGACCGAGCAAGCTGACGAGACTTCGGGGCTCATAGACGGAGGTGTCATGCTCGCAAGGCAATCCGAAGTGATTTGGCTATGACCAGCAAGCATGCATCTGCTCGTACAAGCGATGAGCTGGGAAGATGGCTCGTCAGATGCATAGTTGACAGAACCATCAATCGAAGAGGATTTCACTCCTCTTCACTCTCTTCGCTGCTGTCTCCGCCCTCCAAGCCTCTCATCATCAGCGCCTCAAGATCATCTTCGTCGTCGTCGTCGGCTGCCGCGACTTCACCAACATCGCTAGGCTTCCGATCGTGGCCCGTTATCTCTTGTCGGGCAGGCGGGCCGATGTCCATAGGCTCGATGTCCCTGTTATTGTAGTCATCGTCATCGTCGTCTTCACCTTCTGCGTCGTCGCCGCCCAGATCACCAAAGTCAATCTCATCTTGAGCGTTGCGATTGCGTGCGTGTGGGTTTGGCGAGCCTTCGACGTCGCTGTTGGCTGCGCTAGCGAGGGAGATGGGGCCGTTTGAGGGTGAGCGCAAGTAGCCTGCACCGAGGTTCTGACCAAGGCCTAGAGAGGCCAAGGCACCGTTGTTGCGTCGTGGTGGGCGGGCATCGGGCACTTCAATCTCCAGACCGCCGTCGTCATCTGACTCGCCCTCTGCGTCATCACGATCTTCTTCTTCTTCTTCTTCTTCATCACTGTGGTGTTGTTGGCCTTGGTCAGGAGGGGGCGATGAGCGCGCGGGGGATGAAGCCACTTCGCCGTCGGATTCGTCAGACGAGTGTATGACTTCGGAGGATTTGATCTTGGATGCTGGCGGTGCCGTAGACTTTACCTTGGGCTTTGACGCGGTATCGGTTGCGGTGCGTTGGAGGCGGACGGCTGGTGTGGCTTGCGCCTTCTTGGGCTTCACCATGGGGTTCGCTGTCGCTGTCTTGCGCTTCTTGGGGCCCGGGGCAGTCATGGGCTTCCGCGCGGGAGCAGCAGCCGCAGTCGGGCGAGCGCCCAGCTGCGGTGTGTTGACGGCGCTGCCCGTGCCTGTCCTGTAGTCTGGCGAGGACGCGTAGCGATATTCCGACTCGTCGCCGCGTTTCTCCTTCTCCTTGCTCAAGAAGTGCCGGAAGTCGTAGGGGTTGTCCGCGTCAGGATCGCCTCCTTGGTCGTCGGCTGCTGCCTCGCCAAACAGGTCCTCTTCGTCGTGTTTGTCTTGGGCATCGTCCTTGAGCTTCTTGGGATATATCTTGGCGTGCTGCGACGAGACGTCTTTGCCGTTCCTGGTGGCGAGGTTGAACGTGTAGCTGCTGGAAAGAGGCTCAAGCGTGGCCTGCTGGTTCGCGGCATCGAAGACGAGGACATAGGACTTCTTCGGTTGTGACTTTTGTCCGGTGAAGGTGAAGACGTCCTTGTCGCCCGAACTGCTCGTATCATCAATGCGGAGCTTGTAGAGGTTGGCCGAGGTGGGCGGTGTCAGCGTTGTAGAGCGCGATTCCGTCGTTTGCGAGGGTTTGTGGTTGTCTACGCTGCGCATCAGCCAGCGGCCACGGACGGGGAAAATGGCGGACAAGACTCACATTTGACACTGCTGAGTTCTCCGAGAGCATCGTCGCTGCTGCCTATGCGGTCGCTGATGTGCAGGCTGAAGTGCGCCTTCTTGTGAGGCTCGATACGACTCTCGAGCATAGGGGACGCCATTTTACTACGCGTCCACCTCCAGCATGCAGGCTCGGAAGCAGAAAAACAAAGACACGCAAAGCAAGCAAAGACTGCGAACGCTGCCGAGGCCAAGAAGATGCGCAGAAAAATAGAATGACTGTCGTTTGCTGAGCCCGAGAGTTGGTGGGTGTTCACGTCAACTCGCAACGCCGGCTGGTCTGGATTGGGATGCTCCGCCTGCCGTCCTCCCGCAGCTAGTCTCTCCCCACATTGCACCGCTAGTTTTAGTCTGCTTCTTCCCATCTCATCTCATCTCCGCTTCCGCCTTTTTGCTTCTCTCATCACAGTCATTTTGCCAAAAGCGCACGTCTTGTCATCAGCCACGTCAGTTGCACACTGTACTGCACGCCATAGCTGCATATCCAAACAGTTGTATTGCCGTGCATCACTATCATCGCTAAGGCTGTGTCCCGCAGGCGGACCAACTAGCTCGAGCATGTAACATCTTACAAGTCGTCGGTGTATCTTGTAGTCTTTGCCCCGTCTACAAGACCACCTTGTTCAGTGCCAACCTGGAGGGTTTGCAGCGCTTTCCTTTGCTTCCTCCTTTGCCAGAGGACTCGAGCAAAGAAGACCATACAAAGCCCAAGGACAACCATGCCACCAACCATGTACAAGCTCGATGGCTTCGCCTGGTCATCTTCATATGGTAACCCCTGAGGAGCGTCAGACGTGAAAGCGCGCCTCCCTCTGTCTTGTGGTGGCGTCTTGTTGATGACAGGAAACGCTTGCGAAAGACCGCCTTCCATCGTGCCAGGGAACCCAAACGCGCAGACCATCGTATCCGTTTCCGCAGTGAAATCAAATTTGACTGGAACTTTGACCATACCCGATCCCATCACGTCGAAACTTGTAGACCATATTCCCCCATGGTTCGGCCTCTCGTCTGACACGATGGTCAAATTCATGTAATTTGAAACATCAGAGAGAATGCTTGGTAATCCAAGTCATGCAGCGAGATGAACTTACAACAAGACTCCCAGTCAAACTGTGCCTGACTGCTCTGATCCCCAATTTTCTGCTGGCAGGGTTTGCAGTAGAGATTTCGATGCAACGCAAAAGGAACATCAAAATCCCCGGGCCATGTCAGCTCGACGACGTCGTTTACGAATAGGGGAGTAGCACCAAAGCCTGAAGTAGGCGGATGATGAGCTGATGTTTCAAGGTATTGCTCGACCAAGAAGCTAGAGCTCTGAGGGTTCTTGTCAGGCATCAGAGATTTGTCGCCCGGCGCTGGGAATGTCCATAGAGCCTGGGTTGGGCAATCGCAGTCTTCGCCCTTGGAAGCCATCGTGTAGATATGTTGTGGTTTGTGAAAGGTGTTGACGACTAAGAAACTGGAGAACTGTTCCTTGAAGACATGTTATATGAATGGAGATTATGCGCGCATAGCGATAAACTTAGACTACTCCGGGTAACAAAGCGCTATCGAAATCTAGCCCTCAGCCCCGTGCAGCTGTCGTATGTGCCGCTGACGACTGCTGTGAGTGGGCTACGTCAGAATCAGGCGTTCTCTATCTAACGCAAAATAGCGGAGTGGAGTTCGCGTACAGCTGCTACGCGCAAGGCTGCTTGCATCAAACACGCAGCTGTGGAGGCGAAGCACCGAAAACCAAATCACAAACGTAGAAACGCCGGTGCCTTGAGTTATGCGCCAGATACTTGATTCTTAGTGTGACAGTTGTTGTTGCATTAGCTACATGTTATGATGGGCTCGATGCTACCCTCCCATCAGCACTGATCTCTAGGAACGCATGGAACGAACAAGTAGAAAGCCGATACGTTATGTGTTGGCGCAGGCAACCGTGTTTCGAAGACTTGGAGCGAATTAACAACTTGTGTTGAGCACGAAATGAATAGATGTACAAAAACGCGTCATGCAAGTGACCGGTCGCGGTGGTGAGAAGCCAAGGCCGCTCGAAGTCAACTACACACATGTTGAGAGGCACGACTTCACGATTTCACCATGTGAGGAAGTACCTTACCTGTCGTTGTTGAACCTGATGTTCCACGAAAACTTTAACAATGTCGGCTCAAACCTGTGCAGCGATGACGATGATAGTACATGAAGAACAACCTAACGTTATAAAGAAGAAACTTCTGACGATTGTACATTGAAGCGCCAATTTGTTCATGTACTAGAATTCTGGCAAAGCGGCAAGGTAGAAAGGGAATGCGACTCAAAAGTGTAGAGACAGGAAATGCGTCAACAAGGCCCACATGCAACGATTTCGGTAATGATCAAGACGAAATTTCTAAAGGAAAAGCCTGTTAGAGTTCAGCTCTCAGAACGGGTTGTAAA